ATTTGAATTTTATTTATAACAAATTAGTTATTGTTTTTGTTTATTGTTCATTTTAATAAAACTTGATTTGGTTAGCTCTTAAATCAGAACTTTAGGGTGAAAGCTAACACACACAAGAAGAGCTTGAAGTAGGTAATGTATTGTATTTTTTTTTTCGTTTTTATTGCCCTTGTAGGCAGACGAGCACACGGCCCACCTGATGGTGAGTGGTTACCGTCGGCGAGCAGAGCCGAGCCGCTGCCTACCGTCCCTCTGTCCCTCTGGTAAAATTTCCTCTGTTGAGAATATAATAGGCAATCTTACATTTATGCGAAGGAAACTAAACCTATCTCTCTACCTATCAGGCCACAGACGTTCACTATGGGCTCACCCAAGACTCTCCACAACGAGTGGACCTGTACTGCCCACATTCCAGCGGACTGCAGATTCCCGCGACCTTCAGCAGGTCATCGATTCACCTCGTGGGATGTGCTACGTCTTCCAGCGCGTGTTTGCCACTCGAAAACACTTTTGTCCCAACGACAGCGACTGTTCTACGAGCAATGTGTCCTGCTCACGGTCACTTCAACCTCGCAATCCTTTGGCTAATATCGGTTATCATGATTTTCCTGCGAATCTTCTTATTCCTAATTCGATTTCGCTGATAAATCTGAGCATATCGTTCTCCATAGTTCTCTAGATGACCTTGAGCCTTCTGACAAGCCCTATTGTGCTAAAACAAACAAACTTTAATCTCTAAAATTTAAAACACATTTAAAAACACGCCTTAACAGTACGACCACGTAAAACATTTTTAATACCAACTATTTTTCAGTCATTACATTGTTTCGGTCTGTAAATATAGATAACGGTATTCTTTGTTACTTAAACATTGCGCTGTGACACGTCATTATCTTTGAAATATGATTGATATTAATTATACTATATATGTTTTTATGTAAAAGCTGTTTACAATGTACCACTGAGTAATCACGAAGGTTTTAAATTTAAAAAAAAAAACATGACATCAGGGCTTTTAAATTTAAAACTGTTTTTAAGTTTTTTGGTGATTTAATTGGATTCGGTCAATGTGATTTCGTTTGTTTTGCAGAGTTAGCTCGCATTGCAAACAGGCGTCGCGTTGGTAGGTATGTGTCAAGTTTTAAGGATGGGTTAGTCTTTATAACAATGCTATTGGTATTTCAATGTCAAATTACTAATTGATTCTTGGCATTCATATTTTCGTCTCTACAGTCGACTACCAGTCCGAACCAGGTTGACATTGACGACGTTTGCTCATTTAGGCTAATGATAAACTGGATGAGAAAAATCTACATATTAATTCTACATGTCAAAACTGTGTAGTTGTCATTTTTATTATAGTTGGACCTAAAGTTAACTTTATCTTTAGTATCACAGTTGTTGTTTATTGCTATTTTCAAATATAAAAATATTATTAATTACCTACGTTAAACGTACCAAGACTGTAATGGCAGTACTCTAATACTACTCTACTACTCTATGGCTTTTAGAGTTTAGAGCTTTTAGGTAGGTACCACCATCTTGCTTATAGATATCCGCCGTGAAGTAGTTGTACTATACGTACTATTCAAACTATATTATTATATTATTGAGAATTCAACGAAGTGTCTTAATGTGGGAGCTAGTGTTTGCATTGTGACATTTATGGGAGTCAGTAATCAGTTAAGAAGCAATACCACAAGTTATCCTGGACCTCATACTCATATTCAATGCAAAAAGAACTACAAGCAAAAATTTATGATGATAAAAATAACGCACTTAAAAATTAAAATAAAATTAAGTAACGTTTTAATTAATTAGTAATCTAGAAAATTCTGTCAAGTTCTTTTATGGTCGGTAGAAAAACCAGACAATAGTCGTTTGGTGGATCGGCGTTCTGTTTAATGAGTATCCTGTGTGTCCAGCTCGGCAAGAGCGTTTGACAATTGTTAAAACTGCATAATAACCATTTATAGACCAGCTCACCGATCCTGGAGTTGATTGCTCTATATATGATACATACCCGGATTAAATGGTGCTACTGGGTTTCTACAAAAGCGCCTTTATAAATTCCCTAAGGTACGTGAGAAGTATGCCGTCGTTCAATCGGCTCCGGCAATCGGTTCAATCCTTAACTTCTAGAACAGTGCAGAGCAAAAAACAGCTCATATGTGGAATCATTCACAAGATATATTTGATACAATTGGTCTCGTCCAATAACGTGGTCGGAATTTTCTTGGGGCTGCATTATATCGATCGCGATCCGATCGCGTAACAATATACCAGTTTCGTTGCTCGTAAGACTTGGTAATGAAACGGTGACAGCGTTTAAGGTATCCTTAGGGTTTTAAAAACTATGCTTAGTAAGTTCAAAAATGACATCATTGAAATATATATTTTATAGCTTAGATGTGTTGACGAACTCAGGACCCAACTGGTGTTAAGTGGTAACCGGAGCCCATAGACATCTACAACGTAACTGCCGCAACCCACCTCGAGACTTGAGTTGTAAGGTCTCAGTTTTAATGTACGTAATAGGTACTAGTTTCCCTAAGTGATCAGTTCACGGCGTAGGTACTTCTTCTTGGAGTCGACTTGCGTTGTAGAGTGAACGCAGCCAATCACCTCAAGACATGAGGTGGAAGTCTCAATTATATTCTACAGTTCTCCCACCCTTCAAAGAGGATCTGACTGATTTGCAGCAGATATGGAAAGGATGTTGCTACCTACCCAGACTTACGATACATCGAACCGTATTGGTATTTTTTACCATTCCATTTGATTCCTTTACCTTCATTTAATCATGCGTGAGCATGTGCTGATTGTGTGTTATAGATATTTCTTTAGAAAAATTGCTTCCTATCGAATACCAGCATATCCACACTCATGAGTTTCTCGTCAGAGCTTCTCAGTGGGTTGAGATTCTGATCCGGTGGTAGATTTAGCGAAGCACTGTTCTTGGTAGGGCTGGTGTTAGAAAATTCTGTTAGGTTGAGCCCGTGAGCTCACCTACCCATCCGAGTGTAGCTGGAATAGTCCTTTACACTACTAGCGATTAGGTAGGGGGAAAAAATCAAGAGCAATAAAATAAATATTCTAAGATACAGTTTATTTAGTTAAATAAAAAAACGTATATCTGCCATACCTATTAAATTTTTGCGTGACATTTTAAAAATACTAAATCTGATGCTAATAGACAATTCAAATCATACCAGAATATCTATACTAATATATAAATCTACAGTGGTTTTTACGGATGTTCCGTTATAACTACTGAACCATGCATCCGATTGGCTTGAAACTTGGTATCCATGTAGAAAATACATGTACTTAATGGATAGGCTAATATTTATATGAGTGTTGGACTTCCTAATAATAATGACAATAAATAATAATGCTAATTTTAAATGCCCCGCGAAGCGGGTGAGTACGGCTAGTTGGCTTATAAGAATATTAACAAAAATTCTTAACAAAAATACCTTCTAAACGTAAAACAAGTTTACATCTCGATAGTATGAACGTGATTTGTTATGTTGTTTTGCAATAGGCATCACAACTAGAAAACCTGCCTTGGAATATAACACTGAAGCCTTAATTGCTTTAGAACTTGGCTGCCTACCTCTCAGATTGGGCCGCTCGATGGCTACGCGACAGTAAATCGCAGGAAATGTAAAGTTCCACACGGTCAAGTAGATCTAATTAAATTTCATCATTCGAACCAACCGCCCTCAAGTCAAACTGTTCAGTTAGTTTTAAATTCAGACGACAGACACACGAAATATGAAATTTCAAAAACGAGTATTTTTTCTCATGTAAATAAATTTGTATTGTTTTCAGCTTACATGAGATGATTGTATTTTTGCTTTAGGAGCCCTAATATTTTTGTTAGTGCTTCCGCTGTGTTCAGTCGCCGTGGTTGATGCAATATCCAAATGCTTTTCAATAAAATTTAACTTTTTTGTAAATCTGTTTGTATCTGTTTTTTCTTTTGCACTAAAAGATCAGCTTAGTAGATTGCGTTATTTATATTATAAAAAAAAAAAAAAACAGTTGTCAATTTTATTTTGTGTCCCAGGAAATTACAGGAATAGATGTCATGACCTCTATTTTCGTGGTGATTACACGCTACGTTCGAAATTATATATCTACGTTCAAAATTCTAAATTATTAATTTCCATTTGAGATGACCGAAACCGCGAGACAAACCTCGTAAATTTTATTCAGGAAAACATTGGTTCGAATTTAACTATAGAAAATGTTGACATATTTAAATAAAACAAAATTTAAAAATTGATTCTTTTCTTTTTTTCATCAATTCCAGTCGACATTTCGAATAATTTAAAACTTCATTTTAATCATACTTACAACAAGCCATAAAAAATACTGAGAAAAAGCTTGTTACACATTTACAAATCTAATCCAGTAATCGATTATTAGTAAAACTCGTTATATCCGCCCGCCAAATCTAAATTCATTGGTGGATCGATTCGTAGATTATTGAAATGAATAAATTATATTCCTGATTTATAATACTATGTTCCCTATTTTTAATATATATTTTTTAATACCATATCAAAATTGAACTAGGTCTTAATTTAGATTTCAATAAACAAATAATCAAAGACAAATTGAATAACTCAATAATATTTACTACAAAGTGTTAAAGGCTATGTCGACGAGAGCCAAACGCTATGAGCGCTATGAGTGAGTGCGAGGTTTTACTGTTGTGATTCTTATTGATTACCGGTGACATAGTCAGCGGCGTAGTGAGCGAGCGCCCGCACCGCATCACTACCAAAAGAAACAGTAACGTTTCTTCGCGCGCTCGCTACGACAGATACGAAAAAAGAGGCGGAGACTGCACGCCGGCGTCGGCGCCCAATAGAGCGGGTTCGAGCCGGACCGGAGCCGGCGGCGCCGCCAATAGCGCAGCGGAGCCGGGGCGGGCGCGCGCACGCGGCCGCGCCCTCGCTCGCTACACGCTTTTTATTTATTGTTGCGCGGAAGAGCGCGCGCGACGGGCGTGTGATGCGCGTGTAGTCATATCCTCGCAGCATGGAGTCCGCCGTGGACTCAGCGTCGACCGCGAGTGAGGTGAGCGGCTCCTCCGGGGGNGAGCCGGCGGCGCCGCCAATAGCGCAGCGGAGCCGGGGCGGGCGCGCGCACGCGGCCGCGCCCTCGCTCGCTACACGCTTTTTATTTATTGTTGCGCGGAAGAGCGCGCGCGACGGGCGTGTGATGCGCGTGTAGTCATATCCTCGCAGCATGGAGTCCGCCGTGGACTCAGCGTCGACCGCGAGTGAGGTGAGCGGCTCCTCCGGGGGCTCGCCGAGGGTAAAGGCAGCGTCACCGGCTCGTGCGCTCAGCCCACCCCAACTGATGGCGCCGCGACTTCCGCTGCCGCCGCCGGGACTCGGTCTGTTAGGTTCTCTGCAGATGATGCACCACTCGCCGCTCGAGCTGATGGCGGCGGCGCACCATCACGGTCCGCCACGCTACGGTAGCCCGCCGCCTATATCTACTTCCGATCCTTCCGCTAATGAGTGCAAGTTGGTCGACTACAGAGGACAGAAAGTGGCCGCCTTCATCATCCAAGGTGACACGATGCTCTGCCTGCCGCAAGCATTTGAACTTTTCCTGAAACACCTGGTCGGGGGACTGCACACAGTGTATACTAAGCTTAAAAGATTGGACATAGTGCCGCTCGTATGCAATGTGGAACAGGTTCGAATATTACGCGGACTTGGCGCCATCCAGCCGGGCGTGAACCGGTGCAAGCTACTATCCTGCAAAGACTTCGACGTCCTCTACAAGGACTGCACAACGGCAAGGTACGTCTTGTCAAATAAACTTCGTGTGTGTCTGTACGAGTCCTGTTTGCCGGGTACATGTGTACCTCTTCTTCAGGTTCCGTCTGGATGTAGATTTCAAACCACCTATAAGGACTGATTTATTTGCTTTTCATTTTGAATGCTACGAATTTTTAAGTTATATTGGTTTTTATTGATTTCTTTGCACCTTTACTTTTACATCTATAGTTTACGAAGGTAATGGTAATCTAGAAAATTCCTCTGAGGTCATTCAAATACCTACCATTCGATTAGAATAAGTGAATACCTACGAACCGTGTACGTGTGTTATAGAAAAAACGCGATTTCGTGGTTCCCTATTGTTGAATGCCGTTCTTAGGCCTACAGAATATTCATAGTCCCTAAATTTTCGGGTTTTCGGTTTTAATAGACAGCTGTTTGTAAAATCTACTTCTATATGGAAGTGGAACAAAGCAAACTAAAAGAACACTTGTAGAACACAGCTCTGCCGGGAGAGCGTCGCATTAATTTTTCATATTTTAATACGCACCAAATATTTTCAAGGGGGTTAAATTTTAAATTGAGCTGCGACGGAAGGGTTAAATCCCTGTTAATTAGCGGCTCGGGTGTAAATATTTAAATAGTAATTTTTTCAAACGCTAAAGTTAGATTAAAAAAAAATTGTTTTGCGTGAAACGCGCGCTGTAGGCCTATATCGTTGTCCGGTTTTATTTCCTCGAATGCGTTTTTAAAAATGTAATGGCAAAGGGAAGTGTGCTTCTGGGAGGCGTAAAATCAACTTTTTTTTACCGCACAGTCGGTTTGTTTGCAATATTTACTATTTGTTTATAGAGGAGCGGAAATGTTCGGGTCTTCGTATATTCTGACTCACAGTTTTTGTTTGATATGAAATCATGTTCGTGTGACTGATGACATCAGTTTTCAACAAAAATAGGGTTAATTACTCAAAATGTTTAGCTTTTTAAATAATGGTTTCTTATACCTTTGGTGCATCGGGATTAAAACATTATTATTATTTAGACAATACAATCCGCTATTAGGTATCTAAATTTACTAAAACCTTTTTACTTACACGAAAGATACTGAGATTTTAGATTTTAAATAAAAATAAATTTTGACAGCAAGAACGATTACGTTAACAATTAGTTGTATATCGATTAATAAACGAATGATATGTCTTATTTATTGTAATCAATAAATTGTATTAAAGCAGTCGCACGAAAAATAAAAAGAGACTATACTAATAAAAAAAAAATCCACGCAAACGGAACGAGCCGCCGCTCCGGTCGGATACTGATCTGTATTGACACGTTTCCACTATTACGACTCCGGTAATGGTATCGACAAAAAAATACTGTTTCGTTTTTAAAATAAACATAATATAATTTTTTTAAATGCTCTTCGACTGAATTTTTGGAATTTTGCATAATTTTTTTTTTGTCTAACAAATTCTGTCTGTTAAATTGTTTATTCGATTTGAAAATGTTTTTTTTTTTTCGATATTACAGTATTTTTATTACTTATGGGTAATTGTTTTATCGATAAACCCTGTATAAATCCTTCTTATATTGATTTTAACGAAAAATAAGTTTATTATACACATTCAGTCTTACGTAGTTGGAGTTTTATCACGTTAACGTTGTGCTAACATTTTACATATTTGATTATAACTGTTTGTTATATAACAAACAGTTATAATCAAATAAAAATCGTACCGGCATTTTTGAAGGTTAAATGTTAAGAAGACAATCCTCCGAGTTAATCTCGTGGATATTTTCGATTCATCTATCGGTTTAAGTAGTGTATTTTTTGGTGGTCACGGGAGATCGTAGATTAAAAACATAGTTCGTAAAACCTTAGACAGCAGACGCTGTTTTTTTAGGTGTTAAAATACCTAAATCAGACTTCATCAACTTTCCATCACTCTACGTGCTAATGGTTAGTACAAACAATGTAATAAAATATTTAGACACATGCCTGCGATATTTAAAAACAAACTTAATGTGTAAAGAAGAAAAGATGTTTTAGTTTTGAAATAAAAATTTAGATTCGAGTTTGTTTGTACAAAACCATGTTTGTTATTTAATAATGAAGCATCTGACTGCACCCTATCCGACGTCAGATGTCACTACGAACGTGGAAATGCGATATTTTAGAAAAAAACGGAACGCCCGCATTACAAAACGTTGTGTAAATAATAGGAGTACGTTCCTTTTCACGCTTCAATAATTGCTCGACGGCAGATAAACGAGTGCATATCGTATTACGTGCGGTGCAAAGGAACTGCTCCGCTGTGACGTCACTTCTGTAACTCTTTTATGCCATTCATTGTTGGCACCATTGAAAGATTACGTGTTATTGATTAGTAATAATCAAGATATTTATAAGACACGTCGGAAGTCGAGAATAATTAGGTTCTAACAATTTAGAAAACTTTATAGAATAGAATAATAGAATTATATCAAAGATATAATTGCTTTGTGAATAGCTTAAGGTTCTTGTAAGTCTGTACTGCAATTCGTTATCGAATTATTGTCACTTCACGTAAACGCTGACTAGTACTTTTTTTTCTAATCAATAGAATCAAAGCGCAGGGTTCCGTCCATTGTCTCTGCTACAAAGAGCGAGGTTCAATTACGGAGGTCATCAACACGACTTTTTATGGAATTTTCAACTTTACGACTCATTTTGATGGACCGCCTTCAAACGGAGTGATATTTTGTAAATAAACAATGGACTGAAATAACTGCCTCATTACCTTTGTAGAGCCGGTAGGTGAAACGGCTCCCGAAGAATTTTTGTAGCCAGTTTAAAAAAACTTATACGTACGTATGAAATAGGTTATGAAACGGGAGGTCTCTGTTTGAGTTGGTACACCCATTCCTTTACAGCTCGAGACTTGAAGATCGCTGGTTTACTTTTGATGTATTGAATGAGACAGTAAGAGACGCGTTAAAGGGTTCTTTTGATGAATGCGTTCTGTTGTCTAATCCGAACTTATTGACCACGCCGACATCGTTTCGTAGTCTTTATTTGAATATGGCAATCTGCTTCTTGCAATGCCAGTATTGCCAGCGTCAAATTTTCAGATGTCGAACTTTTTTTTAAAGAAATTTTATGGTTGGTGATTCAAATTGAAAGGTTGTCTAATAAAAAAAAAAAAAAATTGAACTTCTATCGTTATATGTTTGTTTAATTATAAAATACACATTATGTTGAATAGATCAGCATATTTAGGAATTTAAATTAATAAATATTTATGAACTCACTTATAATATAATATAACCGTATAAAACTGTGGACGTAAAATAGTATCGTTGTAGTAATAATAACGAGAAATGGCGTACGTAGCTCCGACTGGCGTTGGTCCAAGCAGTGATTCTCATTGAAATATTAAACCAAGACACTGCAATGCGGTGTCTGAGACACGCGTGCTGCCAAATTAATTAATATTAAAGTTATAAGGCCCGTTATTCACGTGATTTACAATGATTTAGAAATTCGAATTTAATTAAATTAGTATTAGGCAATGGTAGTTTGTGTTATTTAAAACATGAACGCTATTTTTCTTTTTCTTTGAAGCTCATCCCTCTTCGAAACTACATTTAACCCACTTGTAATAAAGAGTAATGAAATGTTCAAGTATGATAATTTAATGGATTTTTTTTTATTCGGTTTTTATCTGTCTCTGTTCTACGAATGTGTTTTAATAGACCTGATTTGACTTTAAGACATAGATATACTACATTATAATATCTGAATAAAATTACTCAATGGCTTTCTGAAACATTAAACTGGTAATAAATTGTTAAGTCGCTTGAATAACTAACTTCAGCTTGTTTTCTAACCAATCTGAAGAGACACAATTTCCGTAAAAGCGACAAGCCGTTCCACAATGGGAATATCACGGAGGCAATTTATTACCATTGATTCAACAAGTAGCCGGGGAAATGGGGAAACGTCCCGGAATACAGACCGATACGAAAGAATGCGAGTGCCTACAACAGCCCGAATGCGAACGAACCCTCCCAGCTCAGAGTGCACAGTCGAAACGCACACTGAAAATCGGAATTCTCACACAAATGACACGAGGGAATCCCTCCCGGCTCCCGGCTAGACGGAATTATCTCGGTCTCTATTTCCGTTTCGCGTACTATTCAAATTGCGTCCTACTCGCTCCGGTTTCGCGATCTAAGGCCGTCTCTTTCGCATTCGGTTCCATTCACGAATGTGGATTTGAATGGATCCGTGAAATGCGCGTTTTCTTACCGCATTCCACAAGTCCGTGTGACTGACTCGAGGACGGGCGGGCGCCCTGCAGAGGAACGTAAAAAGACTAAACGTCGATGCGTATGCGATCACGTAGATTCAAAACGAAACCAAACAAAACGATTGTTTAATTGAATGTGCAATTTCGAAAAGGGCACATCTCTGAAAATGTAAAATGTTCAGGAAATGAAAAAAAAACTGATTATTTTCTAAAGCAGTGTAAAATTTTAAATATTAACTTTTGAGATATATTTTAGTGTTAAATAGCAATCGAAAATTACTGGAATTATTATAAAATGGGTGTAGGTAAGCCTCAAAACTACATGTATATGAAAAAATGTATTTGACAAAATACGCGACGTGTGCCCTTTTCGAAATTGTATATCTATATATTAATACGTGAAGGAAAAACTTTGTATCTCTTTTTACGAAAATTGCGCGGACGGAGGAGTATGAAATTTCCCACACTTATAGAGAATATAGAGAAGGAGTGCAGAATGTTAATATTTTTTAAAGTTATGCCTAAAAAATATATTAAATCAATAAAAAAAACATTACACACTACCATGTATTTGACGCAACACGCATGCGTACTATTTATTTAATGTCAAACTTTTTTTCTTGACGTCTTTGGTCAAATTGAGAATAGATTAAATATTGTTTGTCTTCACTAATATTTTTCTATAGTGTAGTCTTGGCGAAATTTGTGATTATAGAAGTTTAATAGTCTT